GTCCCTCTGGCTGAAATCACTTTCCCTTGATCTTCTACAGTTTCCTCCTTCTTGTCATTCAGATCTCAGGTCACCTCCTTTGAGAATACTGAGGGGCCAGTTCATGGGCACTGCCTTTCTCCGTCGTATCTTCTGATCTCAGTTCTCTGCCTGACCGTCATGACTTTTTGATAATTATCTTTCCTCTCTCCCTCTCTTTCTTTCTTCCATTCTTCTTTTATCAGCACGCTTATTTATTGATGGGTTGTCTTTCTCAACTAACATCTAAGCTCATGACAACAGGTATCTTTTTGGTTTTACTCACAGCTGTATCCCTCATGTTTGATGAATAGGTATGAGTGAATGCACGCACGCACGCACGCACGCATGCACGAATGAATGAATGAACGAATGCATGAATGAATATGCGTCCCACACTCAGCTCTGTACTGTGAGTACAGTGGAGGAGAAAACAGACAAGGATCTTGCCTTCAAGTGTTTTATAATTTTTGCGGAATGAATGATCACTGTATACCTGCTAGAGCAGAAATACTAAAACCAAAGCGATAAACAACAAACACGAAATAGAACAGATTGGAGTGTATGTAGTTCAATTCATGTCCTTAAGCCTCAGCTTCTTTCTGTGAAATGAGGGTAAGAATACCTCGTTTGTAGGTTTGCTGGGAAGGTTAAGTGGGATGATGACGAGGCCCCCTTCCACATCATGCCTGGCAGGCGGCCGCTGTTCTGAGAAAGGTCTCCTCTCCCCCGCCCCCAGGCCCATCTCCCCTCAGACGAGTGCCATCGAGCATACTAAGGAAGCTCATATTGGTCCCCCCATCTGATCCACTCCAGAGAACCAAACTCCGATTCCGAGTCTGGCTCCTGGTTTTAAATCCATTCGTGAAAATGTTCCTATCACAGGTTCTTCCAGAGTGTTAACAGTGGAGGTGGAGTGATCTTGGTTCATTTGTGCACCATGAGCTTTGATTCTTTTGAAGCCACCGTGTGACCAGGAGTTCTGCTGAGCTGCTGTTTTTGCACCATGTGGTGGGGGGGCTACGTGATAATTGGCTGCAAACCACAGCAAAAGCACGAAGAGTCAGGGAATGCTGTAGACAGGGTGGGTCTTCGGCGGAGCGACAGTTGATAACCACTGGTGTTGCCAGAACGTCATCGATGGAGGGTCAGACTTTTGTTTCAATCATTGCTGGATTGGAAAAATAAAATAAAAACAACCAAGAACCAAGCAGTCATTTGCATGCTAGCTGCTAGCAGCCAGTTCCTGAATAGCACCGTTCTGTTCTAGGCCCTTACACAGGTCTTGTTCAGTACTAACATCCAAAAACAACTGTGGTAGTGAATGACCAGGGCTATGCTCAGGTCTCACGATGGTGCTTTCTGGACACTGGGTAGCTGAGTGTCTAGGGAGCCAGATCCCACAGAAGCCCTGGAGAAGGGGGCAAGTTGGGCCAGCGGAGGGGCAAGGGCAAGGACAATTACACAACACAGCTCCCAGAGTTAACTCATATCTGTGTCTAATCTGTTTGCCCCTCCCCGCTCCACCTACACAGATGTGCCCTTTAAATATTTATTTGCCCACCTTTGCCGTGTGTGGTAGACTTTGTCTCAAAAGTCAGCTTGATCCCTTTTGAAGGTGTTTACTAATTAGATCAGGCTGGGCAGTTAGGCAACTGCAGATAAATTTATCCTGTGTAAGGTGGTTCCTGGGCAGGAGACCCCTAGACAGCCTCAGGGAGGTCAGCTGCAGCTCCCAGCTTCCTCTGTTTATTGGAGGAAGTCCTAATGATCGCCCAATTAAGCTGAATGGCACAGCCCCTGTTTCTGCCATTAGCCCCTGACATAAGTCTAAGGCCCACATCAGAGGGGCTGGAGCCAAAAGGCTAAATGCTCTTAGCAAGCACGATTATGGATCAGTTGCGTGCCGGGCTCACTTTGACATAATCCACGTGAAATTCTTGCTCCGTGACATAGCATCTGGGCCGGAGGTATTGACTCGAATCAGAGCTTGGCTTGAAAGGGAGACTGTTGCAGCAGTAATTCCAGTTCAATAGACCCGCAGGTCACTGCCCTCAAATATTTAAAAATAATATTTGCTTCAGGAGAATCTGGGCACGTGCATGAGTGTATGCACGTGGGCATGTGTGTACATGTTTGGGTGTATAGATCCAGCTGAAAGAGCTTCTAGAAGAGGCGAAGCATAAAGTGAGGAGGAGAACTTTATTATACTGGGTCTGAAGGCCGCCTCAGTCCATGGTCAGGCTCATCGGATCCCCTTCAGCCACCTTGGCCATTGTCACTGTTCTGATAGGCAGGGAAGAGAGAGACAGCTGATGAGGACACAGGGAATATCTGTCTTAGGTCTCAGAGGATCCCCTTAGAGACTTTTGCTTCAAGGGTCTTTGCTTGTTCCAAAGTTAAGGCCAAGTGCTCCCCACTTCATGGAGCCCCCTGGAAGAGCCCGAGAGCATGCTGGGAGTGATGCCTGCCAGCCTGTGACCAAGCTGTAGGTGTCCATGGGCTTTGCCTGTCACAGCACTCCTCTCCCCAACAGAGCCAAGAGCGCCCCTCCCTGTTTCTGTGAACCCTGTTCACATGTCGGCCATGCTCCATAATTAAGACGGTTCATATGTTTACCACGGGACTGGGAGTACATCGGCCTTGTAACCCACTACCACGATCTAGACCTCAGCCTTGTAAACGACTACCACGATCCACACGTGTATCAAATGACCAAAAAACACATCTCACAGGGAGATCTGAGTTTCCTCTCAATATGACTAAAGAATGCAGCCTCTCTCAATAAAGTGGAGAACAAGTCGCCCAAAGTTAGCGTTGGACGAAGAGCCTGAGGGTGGCAGAGTGTCAGAGGACAAGCCAGCCATGTCAGCATCCATCTGTCCCTGGGAGATTTGACTTTCCATCTGGGGAGGATGGCTTTCTTTTTAATCCTTCTGCCACTGTCACGCTGGCCTCCAGTGTTAATTGCTTCCTGATTTAACAGTTTGGCCCTACCAAGGATAAGCCCCCTTCCTGTGTTTCCGTCATTTGGGAGTAGATCTTAGCAGTTAGAACTTCTAGGGCCAAACTACCTGAATCTGAGTCCCATCCCCCCCACGAACAAGCTGTGTGACCTTGGGAGGGCGGCTACTCATCTCTCTGTAGCTCCTCCTTGGCTTCCTCAACAGTAAAGTGGGAGCGAATCAGTACTTTTGGAGGTTGTCATGAGGAATTAATGAGAGTCGAGGCAGAGGCCTGAAGAGTGTCTGGCTTAGTATAAATGCTCAGGATTGTTAGCTCTTTCTTCCTGCAACACGAAAATGTTCCTTTCCATCTCGCGCAGCTATGGGGAAGGAGGGGGATTGGAAATAATGGATATTAAGTGCCTGGCCCCCAAATGGTGGTTATTGCAATCATTATTATTGGCTCCCCAGAACAGATCAAAATGTAGAAAAGATTTTAAAACTTCTTAAGGGATTGCACAAAGAAAATGACCCAGAATTCAGCTTTGACCTTGACATCTCCTCCCTTGACTAGTTCACTCTGAAGGATTATGGATCTTATAGACTTTCAAGGAGATTACCAGGGAACAAAAGATCCAAGAAGGAAATCTCTTTTTTTTAATGCTTAATTGCTAAGATACACACCCTTATTCCTGAGGGACTGACCACAGCAGGGATTTTCCACTTTGGAAAAGACCTTCTCCCTTATCCTCAGGGCTTCACCTTTGTCTAACTTTATTTTTTAATTTTTTTAATTTGTAAAATAATTTTAGAGATTTTATTTATTTATTTGACACAGAGAGAGAGCACGTGCACAAGCAGGGGGAGCGGCGGGCAGAGGGAGAAGCAGGGTCCCGGCTGAGCAGGGAGCCCAAAGTGGGGCTCGATCCCAGGACGCTGAGATCATGACCTGAGCCCAAGGCAGATGCTTAACCGACTGAGCCACCCAGGAGCCACTGCCTAACTTTAGAAATGCCAAATTTTAAGGCAATACCACCACCATAGTAGCGATTATACACCAAGCCATCCCCATACCACCATGCCACAGGCTTTTATTATATTTGTAATATATATATTTGTGAATATATGACCATGTTAATATATTCTATTCTTTTAATGTTCTGTTTTTCAACAAAAATGTAATACTACTTCCAACTACTGTCTTTTGATCTTTTCTTTACTTAATATATCATAAATTTCCTGCCAGATTAATGAAATGATTTTTATACGATTTTGAATGATTCTACCATAATGATCTTAACAAAAGCCCTATTTGTAGACATATAAATTGTTTCTAACGTTTCCTCATTATAAACAACATGTGATGAGCATCCTTATACTTTTACAGTTTTATACCTAATTGTCAGCCTAGAATAAATCACTAGTGGTGGCATCTCTGGCTTAAAAGGCATGCGCTTTTTGAGGCATTTGATAAATTCTGCCCAGTTGTCCCTTAAAAGGCTTTACCAAGGTGTTCCCAAAATAATCGATGACAGTGTTTTCCAACTTCTTTTTTTAAACTTCTTGGCATGTGTAAGAAAGGATAATTTAGGGACGCATAAACAAGGGCAGAGGGCAAAGAGAAGAATATGCTGGAAGCCAACCTCCCTGGGGGCTTGAGCTACCCACAGGGCTGAAGGGAACAATGTCCCTGCATGACCTTCACCCCTTCACCCCTTCACCCACGTGTGCTGGTGAGCTGCTCCGTAATATGGGGTAGCTCCTGTCTATAGGGGTTTTCATATATCCCAGTAACCCTGGATTCTGGTTTCCGAAAGGAGCCATTTTTCTTAGGGAGCAAGGCTAGGCGGCGGTGTTGGCAGGGGACCAGAGAAAAGGCAGAAGGTGGCCCAGGTGAAGAGGTATCACCTTGTGAGCCTTCAGTGGGGTGTCATTGGCTGTTGTGGCTTAAAACTCAAACACATTTTTCAGGTGACAATCTCTAAGAAGTCGCTAGTTACGTTGGAGGCTAACTCTGGATCATTCCTCCTTTGTCAGCGGAACTCAGTGAGTCTGAATGAATCATAATGAAGAAGCATAACTTGTTGGGGCTTCCCAAGACACAGAAAGGAATCTGGCCAACCTTTCTGTTGAAGCTTTATGAGAGAGGTGAGCACAACCGCTGATCTTTATGAAGGCAACTGTGGCTTGGAGCCTTTGTGCTCCACTGTGCCTTGTAAAGCTTTTATGGTACCTCTGTCATCCCCTTGGTAGGTCCCGTGTCATGAAGAAGGATGCTGAGCATGAGGAATATGCCATCTATGACTTCTTCCAGGTTTCTGATCCTTCCAGGGAGGGGATCTCAGCACTTTCTGGCTCTTGTCAAGAAACCAAATTGCTGAAACCAAGCGACTTGTTCCCAGTGGTAAGATCTTGTTTGGTTAGAAGGGTGTAGCTTTATGTAACTCTGGGGCTTACTGGCTTGGGGGAGAGCTCCCTGGCATCTGCTGGAATTTGTACGTGATGATGCAGGGAGCGAAATGGGGAAGGCAGGCATTTACTGACCTAACACAGACTTGTTAAAAAATGCCAAGTACATATATGCCATCTCTCTGCATTAAAAAGAAAATATATACTGTCAGGAGAGAAAATGGATTATGATTCACTGCTCATCCTTTTAGGTAAACATATGAGCGTTCCTACGGCAAAGAGAAAAGTTGAGCGTAGGTTCATGCAGCCTCACCACGTATTTCCCCAGCCGTCTACCAGTGGGACTTCTTAGGTTTGTATTTTTCTCTATATTTTTCTTTCTGTTTTCTCCTTTCTCCTTCTGCCATATGGGATCATAGAAAACAACAATAACAAACAAAAAACTAACAGGACTTACATCCAGATTACTTGGAGTCAAGTCGCTGTGAGGTGTTGGGCTTCTCTGTCTCACTTTTCCCATCTGCAAATTGGACATAAGACCTGCTGTTCTGTGCTTGTGCATTCACCACAGGTACATTGAATATCAATGAACCAGTCGGCAGAAAGATGAAACATTGGCTCCAAAACTTAACATGTGTGAGTTTTTATGTTTTTACTTTCTGTTTTAAAATTTTTTTTCCCTTTTTCTCTCTTGACTTATCTCTGGACTTCCAGAGATACGCACAAGCATCTTTGGTTCCACTGGTAGATTTATGGAGTCTTGAATTATTTGGAGGTTAGTAGATTGTTTCCCTCTGTTCTTGGTGCAAACTACCAATCAGAAAATAGTGCTGGAATAGGAATAATTTTCTTTTCCTTTTATGATGTCTTTTTCATTGTCTCTAAGCTTTCTGTGGCTTTTCTATTTCTATCTGTATCATGCAGACTGCTAAGTGGGATAGGCTCCTAATCGGTGTCCTTGATTTGTTCTCTCTTCTTGCTGGCCCATCCTATACATAGTGTTCAGTCATTCACTCACTTAGCAAACATGTATCGAATATCTGTTAGCTTCCAAGAACTCTGGTGGGTGCTGGACATGTGCCTAACTAGTTCAAATACCTCCCTCAGATTCCCATTGCTTTCGATGTAAATATTAAGCCCCTTAAGCTAGAAATTCAAAATACATGCATATATCTGTTTCAAACTTTTTTTTTTTTTTAAGAATTTATTTATTTATTTGACAGAGAAAGACACAGCGGGAGAGGGAACACAAGCAGGGGGAGTGGGAGAGGGAGAAGCAGGCCTCCCGCCGAGCAGGGAGCCCGATGCCGGGCTCGATCCCAGCACCCTGGGATCACGACCTGAGCTGAAGGCAGACGCTTAAAGTCTGGGCCTCCCAGGCGCCCCTCAACCTGCTTTTTAATCCCCTTCTCTCTCACTACATTATCAACTCTCCACTCTAGGCTGGGCTAATCTCACTGTCTCTCTGCCTTTGCAGATGTCATTCCCCCTTCTAAGTATATACTGCCTTGTCTCTGTTTTATTCGTCCATAACCTAATGTTCAGTGGTGTGCTAACAAAAGTTAATTCTTTTGTGAAATTCTTCTGACTATCCCCCCTTGGGACCCTTGTCACTTAATATCTGAGGCCATATAATTCAAACTGCTGCATAGCTTTTCTAGCATATAGGGAAACAGTAAGATTTCAAGGTTACTTGTTCTTGCATCCTCCATAGGACCTAACATCACAGTGTTCTGCTCAACAAACACTTGCCTGTTAGTTGTTTGAGCCATAGGATAAAATGTAAAAACTGGAAATAAATGTACTGTTAGAATTATCCTAGTAGCTGATTGCTTCCCTCTCATTTTGGGGGATGACTTCAGATGCCAACTTGGTTCAAACTCTTATCAACAGTGTCCTCTCCAACCTGGTTACCATCGATTCTTCATCCTTCTTCCGTCAAAGTCCTCTTGCTACGGAAATGCAGGGTTAGCTGGTCTTGCCAGGAGATCATAGTATCAGGTGGGAGAAAGAGCTGGTGCTTTGCTTAGATGTCTAGATCTGAGTTATAATTCTAACTGCAAGCTGAGCAACACCGGGAAAGTTATCTTGCCTCTCTGAGCCTCAGGTCCCTTTTCTGTGAAATAGAATACAGAAAACCCCTTGCAGGGGCAGTTGTGAAATTTAAATGTGATGACGTGTGTATATAGCACTCATTATCTTGCTCAATTCATACTAGGTGCTTATTAAATTCTAGATGTGATTGATATTTACTATAGATGCTAAAGTGGTCCACATCTTCTTTGCCAGAACCACTGGATTTATAAGGCTGCATCCAATCCCGTGTGTGGTGGGCTCTCATAGACTTTCATTTTGGGGGCGGGCTATATCCAACCTCCTCCATTTGCTGGTACAGACTCTCTTTTTTTGGAGTCTTGTTGAAGAGTAGTGGCCTCCACCTACCACAGACGTCAGAGAGTTTAGGCTGACCCCACATCCCCAGGCTGCCAGAGCTGAGCAAATATCCAGGGCTTGGCCTGGGACAGTGTGAGGCAGAAATAAAGTGATAGTCATGCTGAGATCTTTGTAAAGCGAGACTGAGGTGGTGATAATCACCACATGGTGCTGTGAGTATTTTTCACGATGGCAGTGATAATAGAATCAATAGCGAGAATATTAGGAAGGACTGGGTGGCTTTGGGGGTTTGGTTATTAATGGCTGGTAACTGTGCATTGATTGGCACTGGGGGGCTGGGGGGGATTACCGTTTTTCTTAATCAAGTAGTGACCTCTTCTGGAGAACGAAAGAGGCAAGCAGAGCCTCAGCACTAGGGGACCCTTACACATCTGCACCAAGACAAGCAACGATAGAGTGGATGGTCCCCAGGGGAGAAACTCTCAGGGTAGATGTTTGCCCTGAGCAACCAAATGGAAAACAAAAACAAATGAACTGAAACTGAAAATCATTTGCTCAGGAGCCCTCCCTGAGAGAGCTATCATAGACAGAGCTGCTGAAACTTTGGGGACCCAGTCTTTGCCTTGTGGTGAGGCTCCTGGTCATGCAAGCTACCCAGATCCAGGGATCCAAGACCAACCTTTAGGGGGAATGGATCAAAAAAGGTCCCGATGGGAAGTGTATTTTTGTGTATTCCTAACTGGAGGAGAAAAGAAAGACTACTTCAGATGCATAAAGCAAGGTGAAAAGTGACGTCTAATAGAATAAGTGGCTTTTGCTCAGTGATCCCTCTTTAGGGGCGGGAAAGGGGCAAGCTCTTCTTATAGTCTTGCCAATTGGACTAGGGGTAAGAAAAACCAGAAGAATTTTTGTTGTTGTTGTTGTTGTTTTTCTCCGCCAAACATCACCATATTCATCTGTTACTTCAGACTCGTGGAAGGAGAGAGAACCTCCAGTAAGCCTTCTTGGTGACTCTAGCTACCACTGCATTCTTCTTTTTTGTGCATGTCCAGAACTTAAGCTGGGCGAGATCGTGGAGCATTTGATCAGACCTGGTCTCTGTTGGGCTGTCCTGTATCACACATTCCAGAGGATACAGGCCTGGTTTCCACTTAGATTCGTGGGCAGCGAGGTGCAGTTTGATGGAAATCCTATTATCCTACCTCTTGTTGAATGAGATCAGAAGAACTGGACTCAGAGAGGGGAAGGGGCTTACCCAAGTCGAGAGATGGAAGGACAGGGCTCTAGATTAGAAATGGGTCCTCCAACCAGTTAGCAGTCAAGCCCCTCCCACCTCCCTCCAAGCAGCCCTCTGCATACTAATCAACTAGTTATATTCATAATGCCTGCGTACTGGGTTGGTTAATAGTATGGTAGCTACAATTTGTTAAGCAACTACTGTATGATAGTCTCTGTTCATTCATTTATTTAGCAAAGATTTATTGACTACAATGTGCCAGACACTGGAGATACAGTAGTAAGGAAAAAATTGTAAGCTCAGCCATTGGCAGTGATCTCATCAACAGGTAAAATGAAAACTGCGACCTCTGAAGGCTGGGGATCAGATGCTGTAGGAAGCTGCAATGGTAGGGTGGAGCTCTTAGTCCAGGGAGAGCTTCTTAAGGAAGTGGCCATTCTTCTCATCTAGTAGCTGAGGCCTAACAGCTCTGAGCCATCCTGGCCGCTTCTTATTTGCTTACACCCTACATCCTCTCCACCAACAAATCTGGTTGGCTCTGCATCTGAAATATGTCCAGAATCTACCCATGTCTCACCACCTTGCTGCTGTCCCTCTTTGTCCAAACATGCCTAGTCTCTTGTGTGTGTTGCTGGAACATGATCTCCTTGCTTCCACTCTGGCCTCCCCAGAGTCAAATACGTTCAGACAATTCTCGGTCATAAGTTTGTATAAGTCTTGTACAGCGGAACTTCTCAGAGGTTTTCATGTTCTAATCAATATACTAGATCTCCAAGAATAGAATATAGTATATAGCTTATTGCAGACCTACTTGACCGCAGAATTTTTTTCTTACAGTGTTTCATGCAACTGCTGCTCTATAGAATGCACTCTGGATAACCCAGAAAATGTCTGTGAAACTCTATCATATAAAGTATTATTATTATCCCACATGATGAGCTGATGGGGGACAGAGCCATGTGGCCACAACAGCTTTGTTGAACGGGGAGTCAGGTTGAGTTTTAGCCCTAGTGAGTTGCTTCTGAGCTGTGTGGCTTTGGGCAACTTATTTCATCTTTCTGAGCCTGGTTTCCTCATCTGCAACCTGCAGATAATAATTCCTGTCCTGTCCACTTTGCGAGGCCATTGAGAGAATCCAATGAGATAATGGACGTCAAAGAAGGGGCGTCCCCTTCCCCCACTAAACCAAACCAAACCCAAACTCAGTGCCACCACTGTGCTACAGAGGACGCCTCGACAAACAGTATTTCAGGTTCCACCATCTCTGCACTTAATTGTAATCAAAGAGCAACAAATTAACATTTGGTTTATTTATTTGAGCAACTGGGAGTAAAACCCAGGGAGTTGCCGGCCGTTGGCTAGAAATCAAACAAAACAAAGAATTAATTGGAGCTAAGGCTGTGGAGAGCGCTAATCTGTTCCAGGCATGGGAACAGGCAAAAAAAAAAGCCAGGTGCCCAGACCGCATAGACAGAGAATGTAAAGACCAGGGATTGTGTGGAAAGGCTCAGGAGGGAAGAGAGTATGTGGTAAGAAGGCTAGGAAACTGTAGCTGAAGGTTTTATTATCCTCTCAGCTCCTGGTGTGGACATGGTGCCCCATGCAGGGTCACTGAATGCCGCTGGCTGTGATAATTCGGTGAGGGTCAGTGGGGCAGTGTGGAAACTCTAACCTGGCAGAGTTTTGGGTCTCTGTAAGGTGCACCTGGTTCAGAGTACCTGGCTCAGACCAGGTCAGCAAGTTCTGCTGTTGCCCCCCTTCTGGACCCAAACACTTCCAGGTTTTCTTTTCCTCTAGGGCTTTGCCTATGACTGACCAGGTGACCGGGGGCTCCCCTCTCTGATCCCCTGGAGTAACTCACACTCTACAAATACAACTTGTGTTTGTGGCCCAAGCCTCTGATGATGATGACAACAAGAATGATGATGGTATTAATAATGGTAATAAAAAATAGACCATCCATGTGGACACCTAGAAAGCCACTCCTATCCAACGCCCTCAAGGGGGTTGTATGAATAAATAAATGGCCAGTGGGTGTTCTTTCATTTTTGTCCCATGCCCACTTATCAAGAAGTTTAAATCCAAAGTGCTTTCTCCACCTACCCCCAAACCTTAAGATTGAGGCAACAGTGCCCCAGGCAAGAACTCAATAGAATGAAAAAGGTTTCTGTTTGCACAAAGTAGTTTACCAGGATTACTAAGCAAACAAGGGGAATGGAACAAACTGATAAAAACAATCTTTGGTGCTTTCCTCTGGGATTTTCTGAGGTCTTTCAAAGTATGTCCAGTGATGGGTGAAATTGACTTCTTGGGGGAAAGAGAAGAGGAAGGAAAATGAACATTATCATGAATCTTGTCTCTTGAGGGGTTTAGGGCTGTAGCTGACCATGACTCTTGCTAGCCTTTGCTGAACATTACTTTTTTGGGGGATGACCTGTAGTTGGGTACATAGGCCAGTACTGTTCCCCAGAAACACGGATAGGCTGAGGCCAGGGAAAGCTGATTGAGTGGAGTGTCCTGGCCTTTCCCAGAAATGAGGGTCCACTAAGTATGCGTCCAGATGGCGGAACGACCAGGTGGGCAGGGAGTGCGGGCTGAATTGCTGGGAGCAGTAGGGGCACAAATATTTAGGTAGCTGCTGAGTTTCTCACAACTAGGAGAATCATAGCTTACAAAACAAACTGGCAGCTCACTCAGTTTGAGGTAAGCATTATTGTCCCCACTGAACAGATGAGGAAACTGAGTCTCAGAGATTGCATTGAACTTGTCTAAGATTACCCAGGCAAAACCTAGTAGGGCCTAGATCCAAATTCTGAGCTTATTTATTTATTTGAGAGAGAGAGAGAGAGAGAGAGAGAGAGAGAGCGTGCACAAGCAGGGGGAGGGGCAGGCAGAGGGAGAGGGAGAAGCAGGCTCCCAGGGAGCCCGGACACAGGGCTCAATCCCAGGACCCTGGGATCATGAGCTGGGCTGAAGGCAGATGCTGAACTGACTGAGCCACCAGGCACCCAGAAATTCTGAGCTTTTGATGGCATGTCCTGAGTTTTTTCCCTATAGCAAGAATCTGAGAAGCCTGACCTTTTCCCAGCCACCAGCCTGGGGATTCGACATGTTTGGCTCATTGTCGTTATCTAATTACTGTTTTGCTCTGAAGCTTGCCTTCATTTCTGGGCAGCTCCCGGAATAGAGACACATTCAGTAGTGGCAATAGATGTTGTTTCTGGGGGTTGAGGGGTGTAGCAGAGTGAGCAGATACAGGTTAAATGACCCCAAGGGCTTTAGAACCCCTTGAACCTTAAGAACTCACAAACAGAGCACTTACTAAGTGTCGGGCAGAATGCTGAAGGCTCTCAGCAGGAGCTCACCCTTCCTTGCACTAACCTTATGAGGTACACATCATTGTCATGTCCATATACAGATAAAGGGACTGACGCTCACAGAAATTGACTTGTCCAAGATTGCACAGCCAGAAAGCAGAAGAGCTGGGAATTGGCAAGAGGTAGTCTGAGTACTTAATCCTGCCTCTGTAAGTACTTCTCAGATATTAAGATGATATCAGTGGTTCTCAAAGTGGTCCTAAGATACAGCATTGATATCAACCAGCAACGTGTTAGGGATACTGAATCAGAAAGTCTGGATGTGGGGCCCTGCCCTCCGGGTGGTAGCAGCCTTCCGTGTATCCTGATGCACACTCATGTCTGAGGACAGCTGGACTAAGCTGCACTGCTGTGCTCTAAGGGAGAAAGGACTTACACAGAGCACTGTGGCCACCAGATGAGCCTGGTCTTGGGAAGATGGCTTTCCAGAACGTGCTGTTGTTTTGGTTTGTGTAGCATACCTGGGGGAGTAGAGAAGAAGCAGAATCTCTCTCTCGAGAGGATTTGATGGGAAGAGAAGGTGGGAAGGGGTGACATCACAGCCACCTTCCAAGAATACAGTGTTTGTAGGACACATATCATTTATCCAGAAGGCTCACTGAAGTCAGGTGACTTGGCCAAGGCCATGTAACTAGTGACAGATGATGGACTCAAAGCCAAGTCCCTGACTCCTTCTGGAGTATCCGGCAGCTGCATCTCCCCCAGAGCAGGCTGAGTCATAGATGTTCAGAGATTCCCTCTGAATCATGAGAAACTCTTCTTGGTAATGGCGACAACCTTCTGACAAAGATAAGAGAGGATAAAAAGTACAGCAGGCTATTGGTACCAGGAAGGAGGAAATATGAAGGGAGGGCTTCAGAAAGGGACAGAGAGGAGACAGGGAGATGTCTTGTTCTGGAACCCCCCGCCTGTCTCCTCATCTTGGTCATCATTGTCAGCATTTACTGGACTGTAAATGCTCTAGAGTGGTACCAGACATAGAGTGCAGCACAGCTGAACTTGAGGTTGATTCCTGGCTTTGCCAGTGACCCTACACAGTTTATTTAACCTCTCAGAGATTGGATCCTCATCTCCAAAATGAGGATCTTTACAATTCCGGCCTCACAGGATTTGAGGGAAGTTTCAAGGGAGTTAATGTACACAAAACTCTTAGCGGATTGCCTGGCTTGTGTAGGAAGTGCTCAACAAATGTTAACCAGAGTTGGGAGTGTGGGAATAATTCCCCATTAAGTTACTTTCCAGGGATGATGGTCAATGCCAGGATGACGTGCAAGTCTGGGCCAGAGCGGAATTGTTTGAGTGGACACTGGGGAGGCTAAGGCTGCTTCTCTGTTTTTCCTGTACATAATGGATTATGAAATAAATAATTTCTTTTTGAAATGTCCTGACTGATTTCCCTGTGCAGGGTACTCCCACCCCTCAGTGCAGCCCACTTAGAATGGCACTCAGGCCCTCAGGCCCTCTCTTCTTTTTTTCACCCCTTCCCCTCCTTCCTCTGGTTCCCTGGACACTGCTGTGCAGGCTCCCACTCCAGTCTTGAGCTGCAGCTCATTTTCTGCTAGTAAGAACACCCACAGCCTAGACCAGAACAACAGAGTGAGGGCAAAAACAGCGGTGGATCCTGAGAGGTATGGCAGAGGGCTGGGACGCAGGCCATCTCTAGCATTTAGAGGAGGTTGGAATTTGTAATCTCTCATTCTGCCTCTGCCCATGTGATCAAGATACTTGGGCATATTCATAAAGATAGTGAAAAGCTAACATTTGTTTGAGCATTTCACTATATGCCAGGCACCCGTCTCAGAGCTTTATGTGTATTTACTCAAATAATTCTCAGAATAGCCCTACAATAGAACTACTTTTATAATCCCCATTTACACATGAGAAAATGCAGGCATGGAGTTGGGTAACTTGTCCAGGGCCACACAGCTGGCAAGCAGGATTTAAATGCAAGCATTCTGATGACAGAATTTCCCCTCTTAACCACTATGGGAGGGGAGAGCAGGTGTTGGTAAGAGTAGAAAGAGGTCTTGTTTCTAATATATATTTCATCGAAATTGTATAATTATGAATGTTGTTATTAACATAGTTCTTAGAGAAAAGCATAGAGCAAAGGTGGTCTATGAGGATTTCCAAGGGCTTGGAGTTGTTTTGGGATCACCTGTGGTGTAAGGGCCAAGTGAGGTCTGGAGAAAAACTCACTGGGAACTGGGATCTTGCAACCCTTCCCACCCCCACACCTCTGCTATCAGCAGAAAATGAAAATGCACATCTCGAGATGCCTGGAAAGGAACAGAAATCACCCAGATGGGACATGCAGAAGGTGGGGTGTGTGTTAAGGCCAAAAAGGGGTTGCCCCTCTAACACAGAGCATGGAGAGATTTGAGTGAATGCCTTCATGTTAGCTTTGGGTATTTCTTAACATCAGCTAGTAGGGTCAATTCTCTCATACTGCCATCTTTCACACTCCACCCCAATACACACTTGTGTCTTCCAGAGTCTCTGCCAGATATCTGTCCCTGAAAAAAAGAAGCTCCCTTAAGAGCCTAGAGCAGGGCCTCAGTGTTTTATATTTCCATAATGTCATTGTAAAAGAATCACAGAGAGTGTATCTATCAGTTTTGCTGCATAACCCAGATCACAGTGGCTTGTAATAATGAAAATTTATTTTCCATTTATGTCACAGGATGCCTACAGCTCAGCAATCGCTGTGCTTCAGGGTGTAGGTTGCTTAAGGGTCAGTTCCATAGGTCTTCCTGGTCTGTGATTGCATGAGAAGGAGCAGGCCCTATGCACAGAGTGCTGTTCTAACAGAAAGCAGGAGTGCAAGAGACCAACTTCAGGTATGCAGTCACCTTAGACTTTTGCAGGGATGTGGTTCACAGTCCACTGGCCAAAACAATTTCAGTGAGCCAAATCTGACAATAGAATAGGAAAATTTACTGGCCTGGAAGGGAGTGTGGCAAGGGTGTGGAAGCATAATCCTTCTACAGAAGACTGATATGTAATGCAAATTGTCACAGGGATTTTTTTTTTTTTAACCATGCAATTCAAGGGCCCTTCTCCAGCTATTTTAATTCAATAGGTCAGAGTAAGTAGTAGTATTATTACAACAGTAATAATAATCATAAAGATAATGGCCAATATTATTTTTTGCCTTTTGTGAGCCAAACACTGTGTTAAGTGCTTACACATATGATGCTGTTTAATCCTACAACTACCCTATGAGATGGGGACAATTATCATCTTCCTTTTATAGATGAAGAAATAGAAGCTCAGAGACATTCAGAAACTTCCCAAGGTTAAATAGCTAGTAAATAGTGGAGCAGGGTTATGGAGCTGTGGAATGGAACTCCTGAGTCCCAAGACTTCTTCAGTTTCTCAAATATGCCAATTTCTCTCCTGTCTCAGGGCCTTTGCACTTCCTTTCTCCTTAACCTGAACTAAGTTTCCTCCCATTCGTTCACTTCATTTCTCAGGTTTCAGTAGAAACATAACTTCCTCAAATAGGATCCAGGATGGACTCTTTTGGGTTTTCCAGATTTTTTTTCAGCCTTGTCTGACCTTCTTTGCTGTGGTGACTTGCTTGATGGAAAGCCCAATCTCCGGTGCATCCCCTGACCTCCTCGCACCTCAGGCTGTCTCAGCTCTCCTCAGGGAAAACAGGAGACGGGAAGGAGCCAGCAGATAAATCTCTCTCTGTTCTTCTCCTGAATGGGCTCTCCAAGTCACAGTTGTCCCAGATGGCTCATCCATCAGAGCCATCAGCTGTATTTTCTTGCAAGGCTGATGCCGGCTTGGTAAAACACCACCTTGCGTGTGCTTTCCCTCATTCCTTCACTTCCCCTTGTCCTTTCCTCTTGCTGTCCTAGACTGCCCCTCCCAATAAAGCATTAACAAGTGATATTTACTGCAGGCTTTGCTGTCTTGGGAACCCAGCCTAAGGAACCTCCCTTCCCACCTAAACTTGACCACCTGTTTTTTTCACTCAAGTGCTCTATTCTTTTGTCTCACAGCTTTATCTGGCACAACTGGTCATCATATATGATATATGCATTTGTGTGATTACCTGTTTGACAACAATTTCTTTCCATCTACCTTGAGTTCTATGAGACAAAGATTACACAGTGTTGTTTACCACTGTGTCGCCTGTACTTAATGCATGGCCTGCACATAGTAGCGGACCAACAAATATTCGTAAATAAACGTGCATGTCTAGGTTTGAATCCTCGCTCTGTCTCTGTTGCTTTGGGCAAGTTACTAAAAACTCCTAAGCTTCACTTTCCTTCTTTTTTGGAAATATGGGACCAGGTACCTACTCCACAGGTCCTGAGAACCAAAAGCGGTGATAAATGTAGATGTTCAGTAACTGATAATAATTGCTAATATTATTAGGCTATACCAGCACCCAACAATCTTTTCCTATAAAGGGCCAGACAGTAAATATTTTAGGCTTTGTGGAAGAAATGATCCCTGTCGCAGACTCAACTCTGCCAGTGTAGTGTGAAAACAACCATAGATAATACGTAAACAAATGGGTGTGGCTGTGTTCCAATAAAACTTTATTTACAAAAGCAGGCAATAGGCCATTGGCCCTCATGTTGTAATTTGCTGACCCCTGTACTATATGGTCTGAGCAGTATGAATCTAAAGGGTTGTGCTAGGGTCACATCAACAGACTGTAAATATTCCTGAACTTTCTAGGCAAGGCTTATCCCTTCCTTTCTTTTCTGTGTTAAAGATAAGCAATATTTTCCTGGCAGTGACAGGGTACTTTCAGGGAAATCTTATTCTCAGAATTTGTATTTGTTTATAATACCTCTTTAACAAGTGTGAGTGGTGAGAGCCCTCCCGCATATTTTCCCTCCAACTTTTTGTTAACTGGGACTAGTGCACCTTCTCTACATACATGAAGCTAGTCTGTGGTGAGAAAAATGGGAATTTGGAAGACTGGAACTTTCCTTGTCTCCTAAGAAGAACCTTACTTATATGGTAAATCTTCTTAGAATAAGTGGTTTCCTGCAAAAGATATTAAAGATATAGTCTTTTTTTTTTTAATTTGATCAAGTCTTGGGAGAAGAGCATATTTAAAAAAAAAAATATATATATATACATATATATGTATATTTACACATGGCCTCTTACAAAATAGAGCTGGAATAAGTGGATGTCATACATTTCCATCTTTCTTTATTGTAGTTATTAATAAAACATGACACTCCGCAAATCCTACCGAGGGTTAAGCCTATCTGAACTGATCACATGTTGGCTGGATTCTGATGCATGTCACCTTTTGATGTGACATTGAAGACCCATGCTCTGCATGTCTTTCTGTTCTTCCATTCTCAGAGTTCCGGCAATGACTATCGTCGTGGTTGTAATACAGCTGCCTGTGCTTTAAACATCATGTCCTCTCGGCATCATTTCAGACAAGATGAAAGAAAGCAGGCAACAAAAAAGGGCCTCCTCCTTATGTACTTCCTTTATGCTGCGGAAGGAAATCTTCCCAAGAAGGCCCCTTGCAAACTTCTTTTTATGTGCCATTGACCAGAAATGTGTCACATGTCTAACCTTAGACCAGTCGCTTCCAAAGGGAGTGTGGTAACTGTGATTGGCTGAGAAGAGTCATGATTCATTCACTGGGGCTAGAACAAGCAAAGAGGAGGCATGGCACATGGGTGGGCAGGGTCTGCCATACCTTTTTTGTCATTTTCTTCTTATGTCTGTTTGGTTTACCAGTTCCTAACCCAGTGCCTGATCTAAAATAAGCATTCAGTATATATTTATTGGGGAATGAGTAAAGTAATGCATGGATAAATAATGACTAGAATATCCTTCTAGTTGCCTTTCCCCCTATTTATTCTTTTGGTTTCCTCACCTCTCTGAGTCTGATGTAGGCAGTCCTGGAGCTATTCTTTCTATCTGCAGGTGATGCTTCCTAAATTTGGTAACACGGTAAGAGGTGAATATGGCCTATCACACTGTCCATTTTCAGCCTTTGGTGTCGGTTGGTCAGCGTGGTCAATGAGAGGACAGGTAGATGAGGCTGGCTGTGCGCTCGAGGACTGCATGCACAGCCAGGACAGGGAGCCAAGGTCATCCATCCCCTTCAGTCCTCTCCCTGGGCAGTTCTCTATGAGTTTTTAAACTCCTGTATTAGAATGTTAACAAAATAACAGGATCTGTGGAAAATATTAAAGAGATACGGTTTGATATGCACCAGGCATCTTGGAAGCGCTTGTTACCAAGCATTTAATGAGATTATTATAAGCCCCTTCCACTTAGCTCATAGCTCAAAAGGTCTAAACACCCTTTCTAGGTATCACTTTGTCAATCTAGTTTGAATGAAGCCCTGGGAAATATTTCTTTAAATAAGTGACTATCCTGGGTTATTCGTGATTTCAGTCTTGTTTATCCCCCACTGTTGGACCAAAGTGGGGACTTTATGCTCAATCCTGGAGTATCCCTGGGAAGGAGATAGAATGATGAGGAGTTGTCTAATCTGAGTGGAATCTGAACTCGGTCACTTATTAGCTATGACATCCTGGGCAAGTTGCTTAATACATCTAAGCTTCAATTTTCTCATCTACAAAATGGGACAATAATTGAGGGTGGTTCTGGCGCAATGGCTGCAACAAAGAAAGGGTGCAACAAATTCTATCTGTAGTTGCTCTTGCCACATGCTATAGTCATCAGTTTGCCGTTGAAATGAGCACTTTTTTTTTTTTTTTTTTTTTTTTACAAAGACATCTGTGGTTGTCATCTTTGAAAAAAGATGATGCCGTCTGGGAAAACCCAAAGTCAGTCCATCCAACAACAGCCCGCCAATAGTTGCGAGGTACTGCTTGCATTCTTGGCATGGTGCTGGGCACTGGGATTATCTTTAGAACCTGATGGGGCCTCATGTTGCCGAGAATGACTCTGACTTGTCACTGAAGGGTGGTTAAAAAAATCTGTAGAATTTGATGTTTATTTTGCAGAAATGAAGTTCTTTGGGTTGAATTGACTGATCATGTCACCCAAAATGGCCCCTTAAGATTGAATCTATTCTGAATTGATTCTGTCCTGCAGTTGGGTGTGAAACCAAGAGTATGTCATGGTGGCGGCAGCATGGAGAAGAGGGGTGTTCAGGAGCTGGGCAAAGTCAATCTCCACCATGCCTGTCTACCCACTAAGACATCGTCACTTCGGGCAAGCCTGCTCATTATTCTGGGCCTCTTAATCTCTAACGTGAGCATTTAAATACCCACCCATGGCATTTAACTGGTTATTGCAGAGTAAAAGATGAAATGATTTCATTGTAATTATTATTATGGTTCCTTATGCTGGTCTGAGAGGAGAGTTCTTTCAGATGCTAGAAAGCCCTTGGGTCAAGGAGCATGAGAACAATTGCTCTTCTATGGCAAGTTCTTTCCAACTCTCCATGTCAATTCAAACTAACTAAAGGGATATGTTTAAAAATATTTCTGACTTGACCGCCTGGAACTCTGAATGGACTAGTGTAGATGTTTGGGTCGTCTGAGAAGCACACACTAAGACAGGGTTAGATGCCCAAGACAGTCACTGGAGGAAACACCTGTGAAGAGAAAGAGGGAGGAAGTAGGAGGAGGCAGGGAGAGCCTTCAGACCCTGGTGCAGGTCTCACACCTGTGAAAGGAGAGGAGGAAGGAAAGGACCAGCAGAAAGAGTCCGAGACAGAAGTGCTTTTCTAAGATCCAGTATTTGGATAGAGCCCAAATTGCCCTTGCGAGCAGTTCCATGTCCTGAAGAAATGGGCCTGGACTTGAACCCTTGTCATGCTTAGTCATTGGCAGTGAGTAGCCTGTGGGAGGTGTGTCCTTGGCATGAACACAGTAGCGGATCCAGCAGCTGGGACATTCAGTCAACTATGCTTCCCACATAAGGAGACCTGAGCAATACAATTTCATGGCTACCCGGCAAATTGTCAGACATTTTCTCTTTGAAGTCATATCTTAAGGAGTTTGAAAAACAAAACAGGACATTTGTGATAGTATCCCCAAGTCAATGTTCCATTCCTTTCTTTGACTTTCACTTCCCCCTTGGTTTCAGCTAGACCAATCATGTTGAAAACCCCACCCAAGTTTGTAGAGTTCCTCATTTGACAATTAAAAAAAAGTATGTGAATAAGGCACATGCGCTTCTTTTGTTTTATCTTTTGAATGAGTTATTTTGCTTTCTTGGGTTTTCTTGGATTTCATTGTTTTCCCCTTTTCCCTCCCATCCACCACTGCCTGTTCTTCACAGCTGTGTTCCCGACGCCTGATGTGATATTTGTGGAATAAATGGGTGTTAGGGAACAGGCTATAAAACTCAAAGCCCCTTCAAGTCTGTGAGCTCCTTTGTGTCAGGGTATTTGTCTTAGGGCGATGACATATAATGGAAAGACCATAGGTTTTGTTCTATGATCAGACACAAATTAGCTGTGTGATGTTGGGCAAATTGCACCACTTCTCTGAGCCCGGGTTTCCCTTTTTGACTAATAAAACTAGTAATAATATCTATCTCATTGAAATGTAAATGAGAGAGTGATCATACATGTGAAGTTCTCAGCACAGTGCCTGGCACATTGTAGGTGCTTACTAAATGACAGATAATGAATGAATGAGCCTGAGGACTGCATAACACATAATTTAATATGTAATGCATAACACATAAGCCTTTGCTCCTTTCCCTGCCCTTCTGCAATGGCCTGACCCTTATCTGGTCACAAAAGATCCAGGTAAGAACAAGTAGATGGATAAAGGATTGGAACATAACAGCAAACAAGCCAATATCGAGGACCTGCTGTGCGCAGCCACTGGGCTAATCACGGTAGGACAAGTAGAGATGACTGACATATATTCCCTCTCCTCCATCTCACTTGAGGTGCCTCAAGTGGCATCTCAGCGTGGCATTAGGTGTTTGAAGACCTTGATGGGTGGACACATGGCGTGAAAGATAGCATCGTCACAGGATGGAAGATAATGGTTTGGAGAATGTTGAGGAGACTAGGATGTGGGGAAGCAGGGAAAGATATAGCTGGAAAGTTGCTTGGGATCAAACCCATGTAGGTTCTGAATGTCCTGCGAAGGAAATTAGACTTGATTCTGTATATAATGGTATGTCAGTCAAGGTTCTTGACAAGATAAGTGGACAGGAATTTCTGCCAGGTGGATTGTCATCAAGTGTTCTGCCCAGTGAAAAAGGAAGAACTGCAATAATTCAAGGTGCTGATTTTTGAGTTCCTTGTTCACCTCAGATTTCTCTTCACTGATCAGCTCTCTTTACATATTATTTTTAGAACTCTCAAAATGGCAGCCACAGGAACACAGACTATCCAAAACAGAAGAAGAAGGGAATCAAGATGAAGGGGAATACCTTCTTCAGCGAATACTAGTTATTTACTTTGGGTTTGGCCACTAATCTCAGGACAGAAATGAATGAAAACTTACCCAAAAGACACATGAGCATGAAGAGTTAAACCAAAAAAGGAAAAAATACTTTGGACTTTTACTTTAAAATACCCCTTTGAATTTAACGATCTGTAACTTGCTCCTTTTCCTCCACTTAGCAAGCTTCTCGAGCACCCTTCTCCTCCTCATGTTCTGGGAACAATGGATGTTTCATATAAAAATAGGTGTAAGTCACTGTGTGAATAAAATGAATAAATATGATGTGCCTCGAAACAGTACCTCACTGGAAGCTGCATTCTTTCCTTAGCCTGAGGGGATGTGTAGCTCACATTTGCGTGTTGCCTGGGTGTTTGAAGGCTTCCGTGAACACTTAACTCATTTGTTTTTTGCAGATTTTTTTTTAATTGTAAAAAAGGTGTTTGTATACTGTACAAATTTGCCGTTTCTCCTTCTTTTACCCCAGGGTAAATCAGAAGGAACCATACAGTCAATGAATCACAATGAACATCCCTTAGCTGGTCTCCTTGGCCCTTTCTAGGCTCTTATTAATGCTACAGCCAGGGTCATCTTTCAGGAACTCACATGGGTAATGTCCTTTGGTGACTTCCTCAGTGGTCAGAGGATAAAGTTCCAGTCCCCTCGCAGGGTGGGCGAGTGTCTCTACCATGAAGCTTTCTTTACCTTTCCAGTTATATCTCTTCTCCCATTGTAGGCTCTGCATTGAAGTCACTCTACAGTTTACAGAAGAGTCAATGCTTGGTCACCTCTCTAGGCCTTTGCTTACACAGTTTCCTTGGAATTGAATGTTTTTCCCCCATTAATCAGCCTATCTTGGGAGCAGACTGCAGAGAGCAAAGGATGCAATTTGGGGCAGTTCTAAGGCAACCAAGCCCGTCCGTTCTCCCTCACTCCTTGCAAATACCAGATTCATCTATTATTGTGAAGAATGAGACATCCAAGTGGGGGACTACCGCTCCATGTCACAGTCTCCAATGTGCTGAGCATCCTTTATGTACTGGGTGCTGGGGATATGGCAATGAACCATCCTTTGGGGAACTTGCAGCTAGCAGGGAAGATAAGGCCAGTCCGTGAACTCCCAGAACACCAGGCAGGAAGTTATAAGAAGAATATGCATAAATAGAGGGTTCCATATAAAGCTCAGAAGAGAGAGAAACTATATTAAGCTGAAGCATTCAGAAAAAACATTTTGGAGCATTTGCTATGTGACTTGGACCTTGAAAATGGGAAAGATTTAAATACGTGCAGATGGTTTGGGAAGTGGGGGAGTATTGGTGCCAGAGTTCATTCTGTGCAAAGGCAAGGCGGTAGAAGAAAGCTGGGTTTTCAGAGAGAACAAAGAGACCAGCTTAGCAAGAGCAAGGAAGAACTGAAGAAATAAAAGGAGGAAAGATAGAACCGGGCCAGGTGATGGAGGAAGCAGAGGTGTGAGCTGGTGACGGACCTGCAGATCCCCAGACATGAAGCTAGCTGGAAATGCAGAACACTTCCTTTCAGATTCAAGTTGGAAGAAGGTTGCCTGGTGGCAGAGGTGCAAAACTTGGTTGGAACACTGCTTGTTTGCCTTTAGACATCAGCAAGGGGATGCCCGTACCTTGGAGTTGAGTTAGAGTACGTTTGTTCATCTTGTCCTTCTACAGAGTTTATTAGAAACATGTATCCTGAAATGAGTGGGATCACTTGTTATATCACATGTTGATAAGATCTCAATATTGAGAAGAAAAAGCCGGAGGAATGCCAAGTTATTCTGTGTGTGTATGTGTTCACCTTCTTGCAGAGGTCAAAGGGCTTGGCCAACATCATCCCTTTGAGCTTTCATGCTCCAGTGGGGGCTTTTTAAAGGAGGAAGTTAAAGATATATGGGCCATAGAAGAAAATGCTACATGAGAATGAAGGTAACCAAAGAATTGCCTGTGTTTGGATATTCTCTAAGTAAGACAGTGCTTGGTCGGCCAGAGGTGGACCTTGGCTCTTGGGCTGATTGAACTCTGATTATATCCTGAGTTCTACCACCTGTCACTGCTCTTCTGAAATTATAAAGGAATTAGGTCTTGTGTCTATTCAACAAACATTTTCTGTGTCCCAACTATATATCAAGATCCGTGTTGTGTGCTACACTAAGGGTTGTAGATGGAGGCACAAAATGAAATTGAAATGGTCCTTCTTGAGGATGGTGCAGTCTAATGGGGTAGACACATATGTCCATATATTTTCCAAAGCAATGTATTAATGGATCAGATGGCAGGAAGCACGGGGTGCCACGGGAGCCCCGAGGAGGAACGCATCCTTAGCCTGAGCTAAGGGTGTTGGGAATGGCTAGGGAGCCTCGTCTAAAGGAACTGATACATCAGTGTCTTCTCTACTGTTGGTCCAGCTTTAAAATTACAGCCTCTCAAAGCTGGCTACCCCTGAGGTCACAGTACCTATCAAACTTAATTATCATCCCTTGGGTCATTATCTGATCTACTATAAACTTCAAAAGACAGAGACTGTTTCTATTTTGCTCCTAATGTGTCTCAACCACGTAATAGTACCAGCACCGTGTAGGTACCTTATAGATATGGGCTGTGTGTTAAGGGAGAAAATGTTAGCACACGGATTTCACCCTCTCCCTCTCAGTGCTAAGGGGAATTCTGTTGTAATATTTAATGACTGCTTTCTGCATTCCTAACTCTGAGCCAAGTCTAGAAGGAAACAACAAAAAAGGAAAAGTGTGTGGAATGTTTGGACCAAACCGAACCTTGGACATCTGCTGATTCTCTGCCTCATTTCTACAGATAGAAAGTTGAAGTTCAGAGAAGTTACACTGTCTATTAGTGCAAGGTCATCCAGGTGATTGTAGTGGAATGAGTTTAAAATCTAGCTATCCTGATTTCCAGTCTTCAGTTCCTTGCTGTGAGTCACTAGTATTCTTCTATCAGTTACAGCTAGGTAGGGGGGATGCGCAAAGAATTCTGGGAAGGACTCATTTCTTTTGCTATCACACAGAATGCTTCCAAATTCTAAAGGAGTCTCATCTTGCAAGTAAGGCTTTGTTTAACAGAATATTTCATGTGATAGGATTATGTTCTACAAAAAACAAAAAATGTAAGGGATGCTTTCTTGGGTGATAAGTAATTGCTTCTGACGGGAGCACCTTCCACTTTGTAAAAAAAAGACCTGTTTCCCCTGCTTTCATCTGATATCTCTGTGAGGCCCCGGAGGGAAATGTTGGGAACAAACACTTGCTTCAGCTGTAATATTCCCTTGAAAAGGGGAGCTTGAAATCCTTTAGGGATCCCAGTGTTCCTTCAAAATTGATTTTGACACTGTAGAACTACATTCTAACTAACTTCCATGCCAAAATCTATTGTGACTAGCTATTGGGTAAAGAATGTTTACAAGTAAGCTTTCATATCAAGAGCAAAAAAAAAAGAAAAAGAAAAAAGAAAAAGGTTCATATCCCATGACCCGAGTTTTATCCTTAAAGAGTGTTTCCTAAAGGGGCAAGAGGAAGAAATTGTGAGAGCAAAAGATTGGGGGATGGATTAATTAAAGGATTAATTAATTAAATAAGATACTGTCATAATAGAATACATTAAATGACAAAAATGCATCAGGGAAAACAAAATAAGAAAACTTCTATTGTATTATCAACAATAAAAATTCGTGGTTTCTAACATGTATTAATAAGCACTCACTGTGGGCTGGGCTCTGTTGTAAGCCTTTATAGGAATCAATGCATCCAATCTTCACAGCAACCCACGAGGAAGGTACAGTTAACATCCTTGTTTTAAAAAGAGTGGAACAAGGCACACAAAACTAATGTAACTTCCTTGAGATTATAGAGAGTGGTGGAGTTCATGTTCAAACATACGTAGACTGACTCTAGAGCCCATGCTTTTTTATTAAATTAAAAATTTAAATAACAAAGTAATATATATCCTGTGAGCATACCACTTGATCCCGATTCCACTTACATGAATTAACTGAGACCCATACAAATATTTATGTACAAGGATGTTCATTAAACCATTACTTCCAGTAATGGAAATTGGAAACAATCCAAATGCTGAATTATTAGGGATATATTAAGTGCTCAATTTAAAAATGAAAAAAAAAAGAAAGCAAAGTACAAAGTAGAAAATGAAATCACTCATAATCCCTATACTCTGAAATAACCACAAAGAAATCTGAGCAAATATTTCCAGCTTTTTTTTTTTTTTAGATTTTGTTTCTGACGCAAAATTGGGATCATACTGGATGTATTGCTTTACAATCTTACTTTTCTATGTGGATAGCATTATAAATTACTTTCAAGCCATCAGTTATTCTTCAGTCACTTATTATAATGGCTGCACAGTGCTCCATTATTTGTGCATATGATGATTTACTTAACAAACTTTTCATTGTTGGACCTGTGCTCTTCTAACCATTATTCCATGATGCCCCAATGGATGGTAACTCATCAATCATAGAAAGTAAGTAGTTCAGGGTCTCTAACTCCGAGTTTGTGACCTTATGTGATCTGCCCTAACTATTCCCACTTAATCTCCATGTGTGTTGCTTCAGCTAATACTGAATTATAGCCAAATAGAATCCCTTGTTCTAGAAGAGTAAATTAGCACCTCCTATAGCACCCATGGAATTCCTCTTATTGCATGTATTTATCTACCTGCTCATCTAGTTGTAGTCTACTAGACTGAAAACTTGCAAGTGGAATTTCTGCCAGACTAAACTTCCTAAACCCACATGGCAGTATAATATTTTGTACTTAGTAGTTGCTCAATACATGTTTATGGAATAAATGAAGGCAATATATTATTATTTTTAACAGTGTAAGATTGTAAACAATTCAAATAGCTAACAATAGGGAGCAAGTTGAATAAACTGTGATGTGTCAGTACTAAAGAATTTTGAGCAATAATTAAAAGGGAAAACATAACAAAAGAGAAAATGTCTGTAAATAATGTTAGCCAAAAAGGAGCAGAACATATACTTAGATATATGCTAGAATTTTAGCCATTTAAAATTGCAGGTAAAAAACAAAACAAAACAAAATAAAATAAAATTGCAGGTATAGGGGATAAAAATTTGAAGGGAGTTTCAGAGAGGTGTGAAAGGTAGGTGTTTTGTTTGAATAGACATAATGGGTAAAATTTTTCCTTTCTTAACTTCCTATAATATTTTTAAAAAGAGGTAGTAAATGAATGAATCACATTTGTCAACATATTTACATTTTTGAGATGATTTCATGG